TTGCCTCTGCTGCCCACGAGTGCTTTGTTGAATTCTCCATAATGCTGACTTGAGCAAGATAGACTTGAAGGGATTGCTACACAAATGCTCCTAGTTTATCGCAAAAAGAAAGAACAGGATATAGCCCTGAAATCCCCCAAACAATGTAGTTTTTTAAAAGCATACAAGGAAGGGCTGCAGATGTAGCTCAGTTCAGACCCCATATATGTGTGAGTGTGTGTGTGTGTGTGTGTGTGTGAGAGAGAGAGAGAGAGAGAGAGAGAGAGAGAGGCAGGTGGGGGGAGAGGGAAGTATTCTTAAATTACACACTTGGATCCATAATATTTAGATTACCCTGAAGAATAGTTCTTCAACTATAAAATCAAAACAGATTAATTTTAGCATTGTATCAGAGTCCAGTCCACACCAGCTATTTTAAAGTATCTTAGTGTTAAGTATTAACCAGGTGTGAAATTGTCACCTGAATGACTGAGAAGGTAAAGGGGGAGCATAAAATCATCACTGGATAAGCAGAATACAAAAGATAACCACCACCCTAAGGGCTAGAGACCAAAAGGAAGATGCTGGAATCATCAAAGCTTATAAACTTGGAAGACAGGTTCTCCTTGGCCTGCTACTAAGAGAAGTGGTGCTACTCAGCTACAGCTGGAGTCCCTGTGTTCTGAAGACCTGGAATGCTGGTGCTGGAAAGAGAGCAACAGAGGACTGATGCTTGTGTGTCCAAGGAGACCACTGTGAGGCTAGTTCTGCAAGTCTAGGAAATGCTGAAAACTGTATTCAGCCACTGCTATAGGAAGAAACTTGCTGCTAGGGTGAAGAACCTCTGTGAGAATCAAGAATCACACTCACAGGAGCTTTGGGCCATGAGGAGAAATCCACCTGATGCAAATGGAAATGTGTGGGTCCCTTGTCCAGCTTGGCAGTCTCTTTCTAGCATCCCTTGTTGGCACAGCTCACATGCAGCCAAATGGCAAAGGAAAAATGTTTGCAGAGTCCCAGGTCCAGCCTCGCAAAGCAAGGTACAGGAGGGTGATTCTGAAGCTAAGCCAACTTAATAACTGGCATAGACCACCCCTTCGGCTATTCAGCATCCATGACAAGTCTCAGTCCTTAGAAGACATATACATTTGAAAACGTACACATTTGAACCACTCCTTCTGCACCAAAGCAAGTGTTTCCATCTAACAGTCTGAAACTATCCTTCATTCAAAGAAAGATATTCTCACCCTGTCCCCAAACCAGGAAGCTACATTAAAAAATTGTACCTTTGGGCTACATTAAACATTTTTAGAATTTAGTCATAGTCCTATCTGAATAATCTGCCACCTAAAGACAAAACCTTATATTAAAAAGGAAAGATAAGAAATAAGTAATGCATACATGTTTATATAAATATCAAGCAAGCAAGAAAATATGCATGCCTGCAACCATCCTTATTACCATTCACACAAATGGCTTCTGTATGCCAGACTTTGAGAAATGAGTCTCCTGCATTCAAGAAGATGACAGTTCAAGGGTAGACAAACTGGTAGACAGACTTGTATGAAAATAAGGTGATGGTCATGTGTGTGTAGAGGGAAGGGGGGAAACTTAAGGGCTAGGTCTTATCTATTGTCCTTAGGGACAAATAAATAACAGGGGAGGAGGGACAGATGTTGGGTAAGGGGCATCTCAGCAAATTCAAGTCAAAACCATAAACCATTCTAAAGAAATGAGAAACTTGAGGTAGGTATACAGGAGTGAAAAAAAATGAAGGTGAAGCAAAATATTTAAGAGCCTTAAATAAAAAATGAAAAAGTCAAATCTTTGTCCTAAATTCAAGGGAGAGCTACTACAGAATTGAGTGGAAAGCTTTCAAGTTTATTCTAATATTTAGAGAAACTTAATTCTAAAAAAAAAAAAAAAAAAAAAAAATCCATGTCATCTTAATTGACCAAACATAAAAGCGAAGAGTAGGGGGGAAATAGCCTCATTTATAGGTGTAGCCTCATTTCTAATGTATGCTAAAGTATACCCTCAAAAGTACTGAAAGCAAATTAGTTGGATTTGGTCAGGAGACACATCAGCAACTATAGTTGAACCCTAGAGGAAAGTTGAGATAAGGAATCCTTGAAGAGATGGGAATAGGAAAAGGCAGAGAGTGCAAGGTCATCAGTTATAGATTTTTAATTCCAAAACAGATTACGAGATGATAATCAGAGGTGCTACTAGGTCTCACTGAAGTATACCCCTTATTTCTAAGATGAGATCTGAGAAATGTGTTAAAGTGAGGACTCACTGGGGAGAAGAGAAGATGAAGACTGTTGTGTCTCATTAGATCAGAACTTAATCTCACTTTCTGACATGGTTAACATGGGCAAATATCCACGTTCTTGGGGGGGAAAATCTCTGAATTAAGAAAATGATTATTGGCCCGAAATTTGAAGGATATAGGTATGTCCAGGGGATTTATTTACCATGTCTCCAAGGAACCAATTTGGAAACCATTGAAACCAATCAAGGCATCCAAAATGGAAGTGTTCTATTTCTCCAGAGCTGCTATAACAAATTATCACAAGCTGGGTGGCTAAAAGCAAGATAATTTTTTTCTCAGTCCTGGAGGTAAGACGACCAGAATCAGGGCATCATGGCCTTGGTTCCTTCAGGAAGCTCTGAGGGAGAACCCATTCTATGTTCCTCTTCTGGCTTCTGGTGGGTGCTGGCAATACTTGGCTTTCCTTGTATGTAGATACATCACCCTGGTCTCTACCTTTATCTTCATATCACCTCCTCTGTGAGACACTGTGCCTCAAATCTCCTTCTGCCATTTTTATTTTTACTGTCTTAAGATGGGGTTCTCATTGTGTTTCTCAGGCTCATCTCAAACTCTTAAGCTCAAGGGATCCCAAGGAGCTGGGGCAACAGATGAACCTAGAGACTTGCATGTTTTAAAATCAAGCATTTGCTATTGTATTTAGGGAAATTCTTAAATGCAGGATGATCTCATTTCCAGAATCTTAACTATAATTGTGAAGATTCCTTTCCTAAATAAGGTCACATTCCGTATGTTCAGAGTTACAACTTATACATATCTACTATGATATATAACAGAGCATCTCTATAGTTATTATGTGGCTTTTTTTTTTTATGTCGCTGGAGATTGAATTCAGGGACTCCTGCATGTTGGGCAAGCACTCTTCCACTGAACACTGGGCTATACTTTCAGTCCTTTTTAAATTTTATTTTGAGACAAGATCTCACTAAATTGACTAGGTTAGCCCTAAACTTGTGATCATCCCACCTCAGCCTACTGAGTAGGTGGGATTATGGTTTTGCACCACCACACCCAGTTTACAGTATGGCGTGTAAGATGAGATTCATCGGTGCCTGTTAAAGAACTCTGACTTTGAGCCAGTTGATGGGCTAGAAACTTGGTTCTGTACTTTAGCAGGTGCTAACATTTCTGTGCCTTGGCTTTTCCTCTGGAAAATGAAATAATGCTTGATCATCACACTCATAAAGCTGCTGTGAAACTTTTGGAGTTAATATAATTTTTAAAAAACCTAATAGTGCCTAATCCCCCCAAATATCTTGAAACCAATCAAGGCATCCAAAAGTCCAGCCCAAGTAAGACCGAGTCTTCTACTATCTAAGACTTGCAACTATAAATAGACTGTCTCCCTGGCTACCTACCAGTCAGATGAATTTGAGCAAAATTAACTACTAAATTTCCAAATGAAACAATTCAGATAACATTGATCATACATGGATTATATACATATAATCCATATGTATATACTCCTAAAACTATAAAGGTCATTTAAAAACTCAAAGGGGGGAAGAAATAAATGCTGTCCAAGAAAACACATTGAAATTTATGAAGAGGGCTTTTTAGCCCTTGAATAAAACCTGAGGTGTACCTTTTGCCTTAAGATGTCTAACAAGTAGCATACATTCCCATGCAGTGGGTTTGACCTTTTAATTAAATGCTCAAATCAATTGGCAGTATAGAGACAGAATGATTTCATGGTAGTGGTGCTGGGGTGGTTCTAGCTCAGAGGTAGTCTTTGCAGGATTATAGAACAATGACTGACTTTTCTTTGCCTTTGGTTTGCAGTTGACCTTCATACTCTAGCTCTCTCTAGAGTTGTATAGACACTTTGGCTAGTGAGAAGTCAAAGAAATTTTTGAAACATTAGTTCATTTCTGTGGGCTTGCAATGACTTTTTTTCCCTCTTTTACCTAAACTATGATGCATGGGAAAACTTTATGAGAGCATATAATACAACTATTTGAGGATAGTAATGCTAAATAATAGCATGTAAGTATTTATAGTCAGTGAATTGCACAATTGGCACCCATTCGTTCTCTGGTACATGTGTCAGTGTCAAAAATGGACACCTTTTAAAGTGTGGTGTTTGGAGATCAGTGAGATCAAATGCAAAATCCTAGTATTTAAAAAAATACTTATCAATATGATTAAGATAAATTCATAACTCTGTGTGTGTGCACATGTGGGCAAGAGTGTGTGGTCTGGGGATTGAACCTAGAGACTTGCACATGCCTTCTGAGCACTCCACCATTGAGCAACATCCCCAGCCCATAACCCCACTCTTGTCACTGTCTATGTAGATAAAAAATATATGAATTAAATTCATAATTCTCAATTTTAAAACCAGTTACAATCTTAGCAGACTCTGCATTCAGTGTATTTCTGTTTTGCTATGAAACTCAGCAAGTTTGTTGATCCCTATCTTAAATACTAGATTTTTATGCTGAAGTTCTAATACAAGCTATTCAGCTAGATAATCATTAAATTTTAACAGATACCAAGTATTTGAGGAAAAGTTTGTTAAACATACTTACCTACTACCTACTTCCCTGCTCTCAGAGCTCATGCTAACAGAGAAGAAGGAATAACATGAGTACACAGAGCTGTGAAGGAGAATCACTAGCTATAGTGGTTCTGGGTTTTCTGTGTTCTGACCTCATCATGCCTCATATGTATTATATGCCCACAGGTGTGTGTTGTAGGTTATGTTCATTTGAGACCTCTCCATCGGGGATCGCCTGGTGTCATTAAGTGTCTGCTGGTGCTGGGTTTGCTGCTTTCCTTCTTTGCCATGTCTAACGAAGTAGAAACGAGCACAACCAATGGTCAGCCTGACCAACAGGCTGCACCAAAAGCACCGTCGAAGAAGGAGAAGAAGAAAGGTATGGAAAAGTCCTCCGGAGGCAGCTAAAGGGAGCTAGAGGTGGTTACCTCTGCCTTTAAAAAAATGTGAGATTTGGGGTACCATGAGTACTGCCTCTTGGCTGACTGCCTCATTAGCTTAGTCTCAGTTTTCCCTAAACAGCAAAGGTGTACTTTGGCAGAAGGGATAGGTTCACCTCATGTGTAATGAGACTGGTCTTCAGATGTGTGATTGCACCAACTTAGGTCCTGCTGGAAACTTTCATGGATCTTGTTCAGTTAGTAATACAACCATCAGTTACCTTTCAATGATCTACCAACCACTTGGTTTTATTGAAGTCGCTATTTCTAAAAATCAAAATGTGTATCTTGTTAGACCCTTTTCTTTTGATCTAAAGTACCACCAGAAAGTGATGAAATTGGAGAATATAATGCTAAGTGAAGCAAGCCAATCCCCAAAAACCAAAGGCTGAATGTTTTCTTTGATATGAGGATGCAGACACATTATGGTGATTGGGCGGGGGGGGGGGGCATGGGAGGAATGGAGGAACTTTAGATAGGGCAAAGGGGAGGAAGGGGAAAGGAGGAGGCATGGGGGTAGGAATGATGGTGGAATGAGTTAAACATCATTACCCTAAGTGCATGAATAAGACAGAAATGGTGTGAAAATACTTTGTGTACAACCAGTGTCTTGAAAAATTGTGCTCTATATGTGTAATATGAAATGAACTGCATTCTACCATCATGTATAACAAATCAGAATAAATTTTTTAAAAAGTGACAGTGTTCCTAATCATTCAGAGCCTGAGAATATGCCATGACTTGCTTGGTTTTTACTACTACCCTTTAGTTGTGGGAATGAGACTGCACAGTTCTTTTAAGAGGAGTAAAATAAGATATCTTTATGGGATAATTACCTTAATTATTGTCAAGGGAAATTACCTATATTTCCCTTTTTTATTGATAGCTCAAAATGTTAGTAAATTGTATATTAGTAAATTATTTTTCTCACTAAAAAATACAATGCTTATAATATAATTTTTAAAGACTCAGATGAAGAAGTCCAACTCTCACTTTACATATTCCCATGGTTTCCCCTCATGAATTTTCTATTTTTCAGAATTTATTTTATCTCCACCCCAACTCCATATTCAATACTACAGAGCATGATTTTGCTCAAAAGAAGAAAGAATAAGACAGAATAAAATATTCCACTTAAGATAAATTATAGTATAATCAAGATTAATGCTTCTTGAAATTTGGAGATTCCAGGGCACATTTGGTCTTACCTAGGACTGGTATTTAAATAAAATTTTATCTTATATTTTTTTCATTCCTCAGGCTCTGAAAAGACAGATGAGTATCTCTTGGCAAGGTTCAAAGGTGATGGTGTGAAATACAAGGCCAAGCTAATTGGAATTGATGATGTGCCAGATGCACGAGGGGATAAGATGAGCCAAGACTCCATGATGAAACTCAAGGTAAAAGGAGCAGAATGCTTTTATCTTTTTATGTTAAATGACCAGCAAAGAGGATTATTTTCAAAGCTCATGTTTACCTGTATCTCGGTGATTTGAAAATTTTTTAATCCCACCAGTAATCCGGTTGTGTCTAATTTTCTGAGAAACCCTGAGTTATGTCTAATTTTCTGAGAAACCCTGAGTTAGTTGGTCCATTTCAAGCACTGCTCTAGAGACCTGGTTTCATCAAGGATATCATGGATCTGGATGCCTTTCACTTTGGCTGACTCAGTGCTTGAATGAACCAAGCCCAACAGTCTTCTCTCATTCACTGATTATAGAACCTGTGTGCAAGGGTGTGCCTGGTCTGATGTTGTGCAGAGGGTATGGGATACCCTGTTTTTCACCTGGAAAGTGTCCAGAAAAGATTCAGGACCCTACCTAGAAATTGGTGTTCTTTAGTGTTATCCCTGCAGAGTTTTAAATTTTTAAATTCAGTACTATGTCACTATGTAGACCTGATTAAACAGGCAATACTCATTAGACAATATAAGACTTAGAAGAAGCATCTTTGAAGATCTTCGAGTCCAGTCCCCTTTTCTTTACCAGGAGAACTACAGTGACTTGTTTGAGTTGCCCAGCTAAGAGATGCCTGCTCAATGGTCTTTGACTCCATCCTCTTATCCCAGATGAAAGGCACCTCATCCTTTCATAGCTGGCAAACCAAGTTGGAAACAAAGCTATCTTTTAATTTTTTAATATTAATAGCACTTCAGGATATTTTAAATTTGTTTTTTCTTGTCTTTTCAATCTCATCAGGGCATGGCAGCAGCTGGACGGTCTCAGGGACAACACAAACAAAGGATCTGGGTCAACATTTCCCTTTCTGGGATAAAAATAATTGATGAGAAAACTGGGGTAAGAATTCACATTCGCTGACACCTACCTGAGCACCTGAGTGTGACAAATTATGTGCTGCTTGGATTTCAGCTTCCTTTTTTTTTCTTTCTCAAAGTTCTATTAAAAAAAAGTATTATTTCTCCAGAAATAATAAGCAGAAAACAGAATAGAAGGTGGAGTCAAGATACCCTGTATTGGAATTTGTTTCCTATAAGAGATGTGAATCTAAGTCTTTGAACACAGGTGTGCTATAAGTACCACATTATTTGGACCTCAAGCATACAGAACTAGATGAGCCCTAATTCCCGGTTTGTGATTTTTTTCATGGGTCTATGCAAAGCTCTCATTTGATTTTTAATATATTGATCACATGTGAACTTATCAACTAAACTAAAGCTGAAATATTATTTAAAACACATCTAGCTTTTTTTCCCCACCTGTCTTTTCCCTCACAGAAGTAACCTTCCTTAGTGTGTGTGTGAGTGTGTGCATGTATGTGTGTATGTGTGTGTGTGTGTGTGGTGTTGCTACTGTTTCCATGACACATGAACAATTGTGCTTGTTTTGTTTTAGTTTTGCTACTGAACAAAAAGCTATCCTATTTCAATTCTTCTGGGGCATTTTTTTTCCTATTCAACATAAGATTCATCCACTTAAAATATTGTTTATAGCCCATTTTCGTTGGTGTACAATACTGTATTTGTATTAACACACTGTGGGAAGACCTCTAGTTACTATTCACCCCTTCCTGGAGATGCCCATTGTCTAGTCTGTAAAATCCACCATCACACTCAGAGCTAGGCTTCCTGGTGCATGCTCACCCATCCTGCTGGGCTCAGATCCTCTGACATTACCATCTCCATCATTATTCTTCAACCCTTCCCCCCACTCCACTCCATGGTACTGGGGATTGAACCCATGACCTTACACTTACACAAGGAAGTGCTCTACCTCTGAAATAAATGTCCAATCTTTTCCTTCAACTCTTAACTCTTGTTTCCTCAAGCCCATCAGAGAATGGAGGCAGGTTTCACTCATGAGCATTCTCTCTCCATCTCTCCTTAAAATATGATCTTTGGGTGATCTTAGGCATTTGGAAACAAGACACATACTGCCATATATAAATATACATGATGAGCCAAATCCTGTTACATTTGCTGGAAAGGGTCAAGAGAAATGAACTCCCCACCTCATGTACTTCTGAATAATGACATAGACCATCTAGGACAAGTCCATGAACAATACTTGATGACAGCACTTGATAACTTCCAGAAAATACAGGGGATCCTTATTCTAATACTATACAGAATGATTCCTTGGCTATTCTGAGGTGTTGTCCAAGGAACCCTGGGGATATAAGTTTGACTTTGAATTGAGAAAGCAGACCTACTTGGGTTGGCTTAAGGGTTACACATTCCCTCTTTCCTTTAGAGGTTCTTGGTATCCTTATCCTCAATCTTTTTTTTTTTTTTTTTTTGCTGTGTGGCATCAAACCTTTGGGATTGAAAGATTCAATTTCATTATTTTAAGAAGGAAAATTCTTCCCACTTTTGTTCTCTGTTCCTACTTCCTTGTGGGCCTTTTCTAGCAAGGATTCATGTAGCTCTAACTTTCTACCTAGAGACTAAAAAGTCTTTATTCAGATGATTTAACCTGTTCATACATGCTGTGTCTGATGCCTAGCAGTGCTGGCCTAGAAATAGATTCTCACATCACTGGGTCACATCCCTAGCCCTAGTTTACTCAATAAATAATTGTTTATGTTTGTTTTCAGGTGATAGAGCATGAACATCCAGTAAATAAGATTTCTTTCATTGCCCGTGACGTGACAGACAACAGGGCGTTTGGTTATGTGTGTGGAGGAGAAGGCCAACATCAGTTTTTTGCCATAAAAACTGGGCAACAGGTAAGCTGTGAACCTTGAGACATCCTTGGGGACTGATCCTCTGTGGAGCAGAGAATTATCTGTCACAGAACTAGAAAACTTGCTGGGAATAATCAAATGAATGAGAGTAAAATAATGACCCAGAGTAAAATAATGACCCAGAGCATTAGTATCATTAAAGAGTCTTTGGATTAACAAATAGTCATTGATACCCATGTGGCATGAAGTTTGTGAGAACAGACTTTATTTTAAAGTCAATGCTGATTTTAGAACAATAGTGAGTTGTTCCCAGAAACCTTGAAGAGACTGTGAAAATAGTCATGGCACCTCTTCTTTTGTCTAAATACTCACTAGCCCTGCTTCCTTTATGTATCTAAGGGTAATGGTGATGTGTAATGGTGGGGTGGAGTGGGGATGACTCCCTATATATTAGGAGAAGGGAATAGGAGGGTTTTTGTTTGTTTGTTTGTTTGTGTTTTTAAGAAACCAGTACTAAACAGAATTGATGGAGATGACACAGAAAATATTAAGAATAAAATCCTGATAACAATGTTGTTGTTTTTCTTGCTTTAGGCTGAGCCATTAGTCATTGACCTTAAAGACCTTTTTCAAGTAATCTACAATGTAAAGAAAAAGGAAGAAGAGAAGAAAAAGGCAAGTCCTACTTAAGACAGGCTTCTTGGAATTTGTAACCACATTCAGGATCATGTTTAATGTACTATGTACATAGGACCTATCTGTAGATGGGCTTCTATAGGACTCTTCAAAGCATAGAACTTATGTTCTTCCCACTAAGGCAATGGGTGAATTTTATAGACAGGTATTTCTGATTTCCAATCCCTACAAGTTTCATATGGGTCACAGGAATCACACAGGACAACCTAGGTCAAATCTAGTTCTTCAATTTAAATCTAGTACCTCAGTAATTTCTATAAGAGGGGATATAGGTAAAATAGGCAAGACTTAATTGCCTTATGCTCATGAGCCTGAAAGTATATCTGTTCTTTTATTTAACTCTTCTTAACCACAAATACTAAGGTCACTGAATTTCTATCTTTTTTTCAGGCAGAAGAAGCCAACAAAGCCATAGAGGTAAAGAGAATTGCCACCTCTTGTGAATTGTGCATAAGCCCTTGTTTGCTCCTTGCCCCTAATCCTCTCCCTTTCTACCTTATTACTGTGCATTTGTGACTTCTTGGTCACGGAAAACATATAGTTAAATGATCAGTGCCAAAGTCATAACTGCATAATAAGCCAATAAAGTAAGAGGAAAACTCATCAATTAAACCCTTAACTATTTCCCATTTTTTCAGAATGGGAGTGAGACCTTAATGAATCTTGATGATCAAGGGACCAAACTGAAATTGGTATGTATGTGATAATTTATGATTCTTACTCACCTGAACATGGGTTCTCCTTCCTATAGATGTTGCTAATACCAGTTCTGAATTGGATCTATATGAAAATCCAATCACAACAACTCTTTTTGTAAACATTAGTGTAACATTTATGTCAATATACAATATAATCATTTTAGTAGACCACCTTAATCTAATCCAAATACTTTTTAAAGAGTGTGGACCAGATGTATTTGTTTGGGGACATGTCTACACTTCCTGACCTAAATAATATAATCTCAAATATGTGTGAGTTAAATGAAAATCAAATTGTAACAACTATTTTCCTAAATCTTAGTTTAGGAGACAGACTATTACAACACTATACAAAGTAATCTTTTTAGTAGACACATGTGAATCTAATCCAAATACTTTTTTAAGGGTGTGGACCAGATGGATTTGTTTGGGGACATGTCTACACCTCCTGACCTAAATAGTCCAACAGTAAGTGTTTGTTTTTAAATTTGCAATGTAATGGAAATGACATCTCTAATTCAAATTGGTAATTTACCAGAAATATTGAGCATCTTCATTGAAACTAAAAAGGTGATGACTGATTTTTTTTCCACACAAAGTGTAAGAGACTATTAAAATTTGAATTTTAAGTCACCATGGGAACCTATCAGCACTAATTCATATGTTAACATTGCTTAAAGGTTCAATTGAAGGAGCAGGAGGTCAGACAATAAAACCCTTCTTGGTACGACACAGGATCAGAAGGAGAAGCTGAATATAATCCTTGGCTTAACCCTACTTGAAGGAAGTCTGTCTATTAGATGATTAATCATGAAGCTTCCTGGCCTTTCATCCACTCTTTTCAGTTGCAATGTAGCAGCAAAAGCTTGTTGTGATGTAAGAATTCAAGTAAACAAGAGGCTCAGTGATGTTCAACCAAAAAATGTCCTTTTTAGAAAATTGCTCCCTTTTTTATAGAACATTATGGTATGTAAGTCTTCTCAACATTAATCAATATATATCAACCATTTAGATATGTACCAAATGTTATAGATAAGAAAATGATGATTCAACAAAAAACATTATGTACCCAATAAAGAGGTGCAGAACCAAGACTTAAGCCCAGGTCTTCAGAACTTCTAAAACAGATCTCAAATAAAATGACTGATGCAACTTCAAATGACTTCTAGCAACTTACATTGTTTATGTAACTTCTTGAGTGCTTGCTCTTTGTGAGGCACTGCAGTAAGTAAAATGCACAGTACCATAAAATGTGCTGTCTAACAGGGAGACCAACATTAAAAAATGAAGCACAAAGCATATTAACTGATGTTAATTACAGGGTATTTATCCAATTTAGAGGTTCAAGTACTGCTTCTGAGGAAGGGAGATTCTAGACTTGAATATGAAGAAAGAGAAGGCAATAACTGGACAAGCAGGATTAGTCTAGAATGATGAGAAAAATTATCTAGCTAGGATTTTCTCATGTGAAGAAATTATCAGAGAGGTCTACAAAATGAAGGCCACTTGTAATTAAGGGTGACAAGTTAAAATAATAAAATACCATCAAGCAGTTGGTGGGAGACTGGGTAAGATTCTAACGTCCCAAGTGTTGCAGAGAATTCCAGGCCTGAGAAACCTCACTCCATAAGCACCCAAGTGAGATGAGTATGGGAGCAGGGCCTTCGTGCACTCCTCTCTGCCCTCACCATGTAAGAATCTCACTGCACCATAGCATCTTAAGGACTCTCTGAAGCCTGCAATGAAGAAATCCACTTAATGTCTTTTTAAGTCATTTTCCTGACTCACTTGTCTATAGAGCCCTTCATTCTTTATAACATTTATTCCTGTTCTACAGATAAACTTTTTGAAATCCTAAGCTAGCTGACCCTGAAAGGTCTTTCATAGCTCTAAGATCCTTTGGATTCCTAAACAGCTTTGCTCTTTCCACTATTAGTAGTCCCCTCCCCAAAGGAAATTGATACTTGTGCAACCTACTTTTCAAGTGTAACTCTCAAACAAGATATTGAAAGAGAGTAGAACACTCAAGATATGATGTGGAATTGCAGAGGAAGAGGCAAGAAAGCACTTACTGTTGAATCTACTTTGGTAGACTTCTGGAACATTCTGCAAAGGGAAATGAAAAACAACATGGATGATCCTGCGTCTCATTAGACTTCTTACATTCTAAGAACTTTTCATTTGTAGAAATTCAAGTTTTAGTTAAACTAGCAACAAATTAAAATAATAAAATACCATCAAAATAGATGGTAGCTAATAAGTAAGAGAAAGCTAACCCCTGTTAGTTTTCTAACAGGGCTAACATTCTGGTTAAACTTTGACATGCTCTTACATATTGACTCTGTATTTATAGGTCACAGATTTATCTGTACTTGGTAAAACCAGCATATTCAAAAAATATTTAACTCTTAACAATTGCTCTGGATGATGTGTACTGAGAAAGAAATCTAAGTCACCTAGACTTTATTAGTGGTTAGAGGTGACTGGAGCTCTCTGCAGTTTGTTCATATTGCAAACTAAGCATCATCCCTTAGGAAATACTTCCTTTTTTTTTTTTTAAAGAAAAGCACTTGAGCATTATGCTTTCATACTATTTGAAAAAGAGAGAGCAGAGGAGGCAGGGGAGGAAGTTCATGTTTGTTAACTTTAAAATTTTTCCATGTGAAAGCCCAGGTGGGGGCTGGGGATATAGCTCAGCTGGTAGAGTGCTTGCCCTGCGTGCACGAGGCCTTGGGTTTGATCCCCAGCACTACAAACACACACACACACACACACACACACACACACACACACACACACACAGGTAGTATGAGATAAACCAGGCATGATGCACCATCAAGGAGATTAAATATGGGTACAAGGGATAGAATCGGGGTGCAACATTCTAGTATCACTTATACACTTGTGTACACTCCTAAGGTGCTCTGGGGAAGACACGGGTAAAACCGAAATATAAAGATCAATGGGAAAAGAATCTGAATTTAAGTTGGGTCGTTGAAGCATGTAAGGAAAATGTGTTGGGCCAGAATCAAATTGGGTCTTACTATGGATCATCTTGAAAATTGGTCTAAGAAAGTATGTTTTAATACAGATGAGGCAGGATACCACCAAAAGCTTATAGTAGGGAAACCCTCAATTTGGCAATCTGGTGTGATAGGTGAGATTAGCGACCTGGAGGAGAGCTATGGAACTCATTTTAAAAACTGGTCTTGGTGCAGACACCGGACTGTCTGCCCACCTGCTTATAGCTCCTTAAGAATAGGGACTGTAATTCACTTCAGAGATCCAGGCCTGTCTCAGATGCTCCCACTGTGGCCAGGTGGATGGAGGGCTGACAGTCCAACGTAGCATGAATGAAGCTCTGAGAAGGGATGGATCACAAATAGTCCACTCATAGGTTGTGGTCTGTTAACTGGACTAGACTCTCAGTCTTGGATTAACAGCAAACCCAACCCTGAGGTGAGCTTTATACATTTTACTTGTAGGGTGACTATTCAGAAGCCTAACATTGTGGCTCCCGATTGGTGTCCTAAGAACTTCTTCTGAAGTAATAATTGAAAATGAGAACTCTACCGGCTGTGAACACCAACTGTCCTCACCTAGAGGTGGCTCATAATGAATGAATATTGAAATCACAAGCTTCTGAAATACATTTTATCCTCCCTTTTGATTGTTTACAGATCCTTTCATTAAGAAGTCTTCCAATCCATTTCTTTGATTAAATTTTATATTAAATTACAAGCTCTTTCTTGTGACAAATTCTTCTAGTTACAAAGAGGAAAAATATGGCTTTTAGAAATAGTGTTTTTATACCTACAGTAAAGGGAACCAAAAGATAAATACCATCTAGCTCTAATTTTGCTGTCCTTTCTATGGCCACAAAGTAACATCTCAACTGGTAAAAATGTGTTCTTTTCTCTAAAAGCCAAGGAGACATTCTTGAGCCTTTTTTGCTCTTACTAGTTTGAGAAATTAATATTTCCTTAAAGTTGTTATTGTCCCAATGGTCAAAATATTTAGTACTCTCCCCAAGGTAATGCTAAATGTCAACTCTAACTTGCTCTTCAGCTGGGCAAGTTTATTGTTTATGATCTTCTATGGCTAGAATAGTTAAGAATTTAAAAGCTGAAATCAGTCAGAAAGAAGGGCTGTTAAACTCAGACCCCTATCCCAAGGTGAATCATAATTACTTATGTAATTAGCTGGAATAAAGAGATGTCAAATTCATCATATTTGCACTTTTACGTTGAGAAAACATTTATATAACAGCAGAGAAACCAAATAAAATCAACATACCAGAAAAAGAATTGAGCGAAAATAGAATTAGGCATTCTATTGTCTTCTAGATTAAGTCTTATATCTACATCTCTAACTCATGCAAAAGCAAAACATTAATTGTTCTTGCACTCAATAGATGAGATTACTGCCATCACACAGACAACTGGAAGCCATGTTCTGAAAAAAAAAATGTATAAATACTAGAGGTTAATATATGATACATGAGATGAAACCAGTATTTTGAGTGTAACTTTAACAGAAGGACATACATCAGTAAGAGTGTGTACAGGGAAGAGACTAGGGTGGTGTGAAAGAGGGGCCCTTGACTGGCATCTTCAATAAGGGCCTTCAGTATTTAAAGAGGCACAACAATTGGCTGTGATAGTAAAGGAACCACCTCTCTCCAATTATAGGGAAATGGACCAATTATAGGGAAATGCATTAGATTGCAAACTTGGTCATAACCAGGACTATAAAACATGAATGCATTAACCAGTGAATTCACTTATTTGGAGATGTGATGCTAATGACTCTGGAGGTACAATAGATAAGACCATGTATACATCAGGTAAGAATCTGGGCCAGGTTTATGAAGTTACTTCTGACACTTAGGCTCAGCATATTCAGGTAATCATTTAGAGTGACACAATCAATACTCTTTAAGACACCAAGTTAGGCATGAATTGAAACAATGATGGAAATGAACTCAGCCCAGCTGTGGGTATGAACTAAGTTGAGCAGACACATGAACTAAGCAACTGTAAGCTCTCACTTCATGAAGGGCCAAAAAAGTTGAGGCATAGAGAAAAGGGACTGGGGTGAGAGAGGGGCAGGGAAACACCCCCCCCCCCAGTGCACAGCTAATAAACACTTTCTAGGAGTTAATGGGAGGAGATCATAGTCAACCAGTTTATGGAGACCAAATTCGAATGGGAATTTTGATAGTCCTTGTCATTTTATGTAGTTTTCTCGTTTGAAGTATTAACATGGACTAACACATGTTCTTTTTTTTTTCTTTCCAAATGTGATAGGAAAGCAAAGATATCCTGTTAGTGGATCTAAACTCTGAAATCGACACCAATCAGAATTCTTTAAGAGAAAATCCGTTCTTAACAAATGGCATCACCTCCTGCTCTCTTCCTCGACCAAAGCCTCAGGCATCCTTCTTGCCTGAAAATGCCTTTTCTGCCAATCTCAACTTCTTTCCCACCCCCAATCCTGATCCTTTCCGTGATGATCCTTTTGCACAACCAGACCAATCGACACCCTCTTCGTTTGATTCTCTCAAATCTCCAGATCAGAAGAAAGAGAATTTGAGTAGCTTGTCTACTCCACTGAGTAATGGGCCCTTGAATGGTGATGTTGATTACTTTGGTCAGCAATTTGACCAAATCTCTAACCGGACTGGCAAACAGGAAGCTCAGGCAGGCCCGTGGCCCTTTTCAAGTACGCAAACCCAGCCAGCGGTGAGAACTCAAAATGGGGTATCTGAAAGAGAACAGAACAGCTTCCATATCAAATCTTCCCCAAACCCTTTCGTGGGAAGCCCTCCCAAAGGACTCTCTGTACCGAATGGCGTAAAACAGGACTTGGAAACCTCTGTCCAGTCCTCAGCACATGACTCCATAGCCATTATCCCACCTCCACAAAGTACCAAACCAGGAAGAGGCAGAAGGACTGCTAAGGTGAATTGTCTTCTCCACATAGCCATTAGCAGAATGCATGTTCGGTACCAAAGGGTGGTGTGATGCAAGTGCTTTCCTGCTGTCTTGTAGTTTCCTGTGTGGCTGTAAACTAGAAGGTGGGATAAGGCACATCGATCAGTTCTCCAGGAATGCTTTCCTCTAATCGCCAGTCTTTCTAAGCTTCTCAGCAGTGTTTGTCACACCCTGCCTTTCGTTTGCATGTCTTGTCTCTTAACACTAAAACTAAACACAAGTTTTTCCATTTTTTAATGCTGCTATGCTTCTATACCTCTGGTAAGTTTGATCGTCATGTTCTGGGATGGGAGGGCAAGAGTCCTCGTGACTCCCTTTGTTTCTTCCCCACACTAACACCTGCCCTGCACACCCAGCCTATTGCATTTATGTCCACGGTGGTGGGATAAAATTTTCAAGCTTGTCTCCTCTTTTAAACATTGGTTTCCTAACCCATTTTCTAGAAGAAACTTAAGTATGTATTATTCCCAGCACCATTAAGCAGTTTCATTCAGTAGCAATTGAAAATGTAGTTTCTATAGGTATCTTTTTGAAACTCTCATAGGAATATGTAGGTTTGCATAATAATTAAGACTTTCTCATCTCTATGTAGGCTGATTTAAATGCAAGAGAATGATCATGGTTTTTTAGGATGCTTAATTGGAGTTTGTCCTTTCTTTTCCCAGCTTTAAGCTTTTAGCCAAGGAGCACAAAGTGATACAAATGTATACATGAGTAAAATGTTTCATTTCACAAATCCTACATTGTATCAGTCACTAGACCTCAAGAGTCAGTCCACTGCAGCCATTTGTATCTTTTATCCCCCCACCCCCATTATTTTTTGTTTTGTTTTATTTGGTTTTTAATCAGTAATAGGAAAACATTTTTTTTCTGTGGATCTCAAATTTGGGGTGAAGAATAAAAGACATAGCAGAGATGTATTTCTCTGATGCTGAATAATTCTTCTTCCTCCTCCCTCCCTGTCAGTCTTCAGCAAATGACTTGCTTGCATCAGACATCTTTGATCCTCCGGTCTCAGAACCTCCAGGCCAGACGTCACCCACAGGACAATCTGCAGCCCCACAGACCAACCCTCTGGACCTCTTCAAAACAAGCTCTCCTGCCCCAGTGGGGCCCCTTGCCGGTCTAGGTAGGTGCCTAGAGATAGAGTTAGGTATGGCTCTGTCACTGTCACTCATAAAATAAATGCACAGAAGGAAGGACCTTCCTGTCCATACAGGGTTCCATGGATAAAAGATTAGACTGCCTAGGCAGCCCTTCTCCCACTTTTACTCCTGTGCCACCCACTCCCAGTTGATACTCTTGTCTTATAACGGAAATGTGGCTTCTGAAGTTGGCATGTGATAAGAAATCCATTTTCAGTATTGCATGTACCTGAATTAATTTGCAATGGCTCACGGAAGACAGTTGTGAGAGACTGTGATGCTCAGATCAGCTTCAGTGATACAGAGGAGAAGAGATGCAAGAGCCTTGCCTGTCTGCCATCTGTGTCGATTGTGTTGGAAAAATAGTAACGTGCATGTCTTCCATGTTACATCCCATAACAGATTGCAGACCTCTTAATGCCTGCATCCCCTTTTAAAACATTATGTGCCCCAGGAGAGATGTTAAGTCTGAAGTAGTCATATAATCAAAGACCAGGTTCTGGGCTAGGCTCTACTCCTAGGCATATATCCTGATCTGTCTTGGACTACTTCCACCTTGCTAATATTTTGCTAGCCAAGTGTCATAATAGTCAGAGGTAAATAGTGGATAGCTGAAGTTGGAAGGAGAACAGCTACAGAAGAGGTAGAATTTTATCAGATTCTTAGGCCATGCTGGTGCCATTGTTCATAAAAGTGTCCTTGGCTCTTATGAGCCACCAGGCCTCTCTGCTACAGGATGATGCAAAAACACTGGATGAGATCTGGTCCCGCTACTTTTTATCCATAGCCTCCAGCTCTTTCAGATTCCACGGTACAATTTTCAGAAACCTCAACAATAGTCTTTGCTTTCCTGCTGGGGTCTCTGTTTTTCTGTTTCTTGGCACCTCTACAAACAGCAAATAGTCTGGCTTGGGAGGTGGTGGGGGACCATAAATGAAGAAGAACTCTCCTTCTCCTTTGATAAATTTGACCAGGATCTTGGCTTTCTCTGCCTCCTGCAGAATCAGTCACCAAGATCTCCTCTATCCCCGCCCCCACTCTCTCTGTTTCTCTCTTCCCCCTATTTTCCTGACTGAAAAGATCTACCACAGTAAATCTGTTTAATCATATCTGGAGGGGGATTGCAAGAAAGAAGATAGTGAGTGGCTGAAATCCATGTGAGTATAAGAAGCCAATGTGTTCCAGGTCTATCTCTGCTTGGCATTTACACCATCAAGAGGCTCTCCCTAAACACTTTGTGTCTCTGGGGGTCTTCCCCTTTCTCTTTTGCTCTTTTTCCTACACCCTCAAGTGGAGAAGGTAGGTGTTTGTCTCTTGCAGGAAGGCAGAGAATTTGCATGCAGTGCTGTGACTAGATCACATTCCAGGACTTTGTAGTCTAATATCAATGCCCTGAAGATTTTTTACAGCCAATATTTAACAAGTCAGCCTGAAAATACAGCTGGACCCTATAACTGTTAATTTATTCAGACGAAGTGAAGCTTTTTGGCTAGGTGCCCCTGTTGAGGCCTTGGGGTATACAACTGCAGAATACTGATGATTCTTCCAAGTTTGGACATGGAACTCAAACTGAGCTCTACAGTATAGCCCCTGTCCACCAGCAGGGATACTCCGCCAAACCATGGAAGGTTGTAGGTCTGGCTTCCGCTAGACCCAGCTGGGGGACTGTCTCCCCTGGAGCTGGGGGTGGGGAGAGGGCATTATGCAAAGCTGAGCCCTCTGCTTTGACTTGCTGCCCTGTGTTTTGATCTAGCTTCAGAAGGTAATAAAATCAGTGCTTCATGCCCACACACCCTTTCTCTTTAGTTCTTGTCCCTACTTTCTCCAGCTGGGCCATAAATGTTTCGGAAACACAATTGTGTACAATCTGGTGGGTGGAAATGAAGGCTGGCATAAGCATATCCTGGGAGAGCCTTTAATTCCTGGCAAATATCATATTTCTCTCTTTTATAAACACCATTCCCACTGACATGATCTATGACCAAAGCCATGAGTTTTCCTAAGGAATGGGAAGTGGTTCAACATCAAAGATGATAAAATTTGACTTCCTTTTTCTTGCACATCTAATTGGTAGATACTATTAGTGAGGGACTCTGGCTTCCTTTAATGAAATTTCAATACATTTCTTCTAAAACAATGGCAATTATTGTTCAAACTAAATCTGCTTTTAGGGCCTATGTTATAGAATCTAAGAGAACCTGTCCATTGATTTGTTATAAAGTCTAACTTATGTGTCAATTAGATTAGAATTTGAATTAATATACCATTTAGGAAATAACAACAACAAAAAGTCCTGTACCTTCCTGTGAATGAGGCAGAGTGAGAGGATAGGGTATTGGGTTTGGAACCCATGTGCCTGAACTTGTCCCTATGGTCACAGACTGTGACCACCCCAATTTTAATTGTATTTTTTATCCTTGAAAATAAGAATATTGATTCTTTATCCAATTTTAATTGTATTCTTTATCCTTGAAAATAAGAACATTGATTAAGTGAAGGAACCTCTTCTGAAACCTGCCACTCTGTGAGAACAATGAATTTATTTCTGGCCAGATGGCCACATTCCTAGGCATAGAAGATGCAAATACTAAGAAGATTTAAGTGAGAATATCTGGCTACATCACCCCCAAAATAACATTCTTTTAAAGCATATATCACTCTGGAAGCAAAAGTATTCCTCGCCCAAGTTTAATGGCCTTTTCTTAGTTGGATTAGAAAATTCATAGGTAAAGAATGCTATTCTCCGAACCTCAAAGCAAATAGGTTTCAAAAGCAGAACATCAGCATCATTCATGAAAAAGTATGAGGCTGAATTGAGAGTGTTTTTCAGTGGTGACAGTTAGACTTATTCATTACTATACTTGGCCAGAGGCAGAAAAGAAAATGCCCTGTATATTAGAACAAGATGCAGGAATAAGTCTCTCAAGAGACAGTGAAATTTAAGAGATTTGGATTTTTGTGATTTAAGTAATTCCCAATGACCTCCGCAAGGATGCAAGTAAAGGAGCCATTGACCCCAGATCACGTGCCCTGACACAGGCCATTCCTTACCAGGGAAGCATTTTGTTTCCTGTTGTCTTCTCTCCTCCCTTTCTCACTTAAATAGTCTGTTCTAAAGTCTGGCAAGGTTTAGTGAGTGGCACATGGCAGGAAACACTTTTATTTGAAACAGCTTTCCTAGGGTAATAGCTTTTCCTCCATCTTTACATATAAAAGTCTAAAACTATCTTGGCATCAGCTAAATTTTATCTTCCCTTTATATAGCTGTGTCAACTTTGGCAGCAATAAAAAGCAAGGAAACTTTGAAATGGTTTCTTCAGGATGAACGCACGTTGGGGCCTTATGCACATACGTGATAGCTGGTTTCCATAAGTCTCCAGACAAAAACCAGCTGCTCAATGCAAAGGTCAAATTGATGACTCAGAGAGTCCAGTGGATTATCTTAAATAACTATTTCATAATCAATGTGGTTTGTGAACACAAATTATGTTCACTCAACAAATTAGTTCCTGCTATTGACAGGCTCTGATCTAGTTGTTTCAGATATATCAGTTTATTTATGATTAGTACTTGTGGATTGTATTATCCTTCTAATGAGGAAGGTAAAAAACATAGTGGAAAGACCATGTAAACCTAAAAATGCAACCAGCACTCAAATGCTAGTTATGCTGTATTAGCTAGTTAACCTTCAGAGTAATTTAATCTTTATTTCCATGCTAGCTTCAAGGCTTAATGAAGGTATTTGCCCTGGGGATGCTCTGTAAATGCTCCCTGGAGAGTCGTGCTTTTTAAATTCAGGAATCCTCTCCAGGCTTGACTCCTGAGGAGTATTTTTCCCCCTCTTCTCTCAGGTGGTGTGCCAGTCACACCTGCCCAGGCGGGACCATGGAACCCCTCGGTGGTCTTCAATCAGTCTACGTCAATGATCCCAGGAGCCATGATAGGTGGCCAACCTACAGGTTTCAGCCAGCCAATGGTTTTTGGTGCAAGCCCAGCGGTTCAAAGTTGGACCCAGCCTTCATCCTTTGGGGCCTCAAATACCCCTCCAGCCCCTGCCATCTGGGGCTCTTCTACAGCTGTGGCACCCAACAGTTGGTCCTCAACAAGCCCTTTGGGGAATCCTTTTCAGAGCAATATTTTTCCTCCTGCTATGTCTGCTCAGTCCTCCTCTATGCTGTCCTCTCCCCTGGTCACTCCTCCTCAGCCACCTCCTAGAACAGGCCCTCCAAAGGACATTCCTAGTGATGCCTTCACTGCCTTAGACCCACTTGGAGATAAAGAAGTCAAGGAAGTGAAAGAAATGTTTAAGGACTTCCAACTGCGGCAGCCACCTGCTGTGCCCGCTAGGAAGGGAGAGCAGCCTTCCTCTGGGACTTCAAGTGCCTTCTCTAGTTATTTCAACAATAAAGTTGGCATTCCTCAGGAGAATGCAGACCATGATGATTTTGATGCAAATCAACTATTGAACAAGATCAATGGTAAGCTACTCATCTCTCTGCCTTCTGTACCTATAAGGGTTCCCCAGGTCACTCAGAAGAGACCTCCCCCACCCATCAGTAGTCCTACTCTGGCTTCTTTTGATATTCAATGGTTATGGAGATTGATTGATTTTTGAGCCAATCATTTAGCTAGGAAGATTCTAAGGGATAGTATAATGCTGCCCTCTAGTGACAATTCTTAAAGACCTGCCAAGAGCTATCAAAATGCAATGGATTGTGGAATTTGGAGGACTGTATGTATAATAAAGCCTCATCAATATTCCAGGGCCTTCAACAAGGGAATTACAAAATCTCTTCCACCTCAGATAATACACATAGCTTTCTCTTATGATAAGGGTGAATTTCCTTTAGTAATCATTGAGAGGTGGTGATTTTTAATCCACTGATGTAAATTTCAGAAGTATGGAACTAAATTTCAGAGATAGTAACTGTGGAGGCTGTGTGTTATATTTGTCTACTGACTGCTTGGATTTTTCACCTTCTAGAACCACCAAAGCCATCTCCTAGACAGGGTACCCTGCCAGTTACCAAATCTGCTAACAATGCATTTGAGAACCCTTTCTCTAAGGATCCCTTCAGTTCATCACAACCCTCTGTAAGTATCAATTCCTAAAAGTCATTGCTCCAAAGTTTAAGTAACATTAAGCTACAGCCTCCAAAATTAATTATGTATAATAATACATAATAGCTTTTTGGTGATAAAACCTGTTTCACTAAGACTTAATTCTGAGAACTATTGCAGATAACCATCTATTCAGGCTGGGGTAAGACTACTTTTACAGGAACTACTTAGAAACTATTATATAGAGAACATCCTTCATGTTTCATTCAGTCTAGCTTCTGAAAGGATTTGGGGAGAAAATCAAAGTACTATTTTTAAAACTTTTTAAAAATTTAAAATCTTTATTTCCTACCCGTGGTTTTATAGCTCATAAAATAATACTTCCCATTGAGGGAAGCAAATGTAATTTACCTGAGTCTTAATTATGAATAGATAACATATATTAACCCTCTATAAGCAGAGGGGCACAAAATCATTGTAAACTGTGCAATGTCTGATTGGTATATGACCTAAGTGATTTCTAAAGGAATTTAAGAAATCTTATGATAAGTTTTGTTTATTTATTTATTTATTTTGTCTTATAACTATAATTGTATTTGTGGCCTGGATGGTTTTTCTCCTTAGGTGGCTTCTCAACCCAAATGTTCTGATGTACATAGGGATCCTTTTGGAAATCCTTTTGCTTAACTTATGTAAGTAGAAAATGGCTATTTAAGTTTATCATGGTGAGGATTGGGGAACAGTGAGAGAGGATGACATTGGAAACAAAGGGTGTGATTTTGATTTTAAAGTTAGGAAGAGTTTAATATTTGTAATTTAGAAATACTAGACATGGAAAGCTATAGGTTGCTAATTCAATAATGATAGACTTGGAAGTTGAGAGCAAAATTCTAAAAAATCATAATATAATTATGGGAAATGGATTTCTATTTCACCTCATAGTTTTGATATTTCAGTTCTGTATGTAAAACTTAATATAATATATATTTGGGGTTTTCTAGGGTTTTTTTTTTTTTACATTCATATTGAAGTGATCACAAAGTATCCTAGTAATAACTTTGTTTCCTCTAATCTTCAAGTTCTAATGACTTTCTGAAGTCAACAAACAAGTCTGCTAAACAGATACCATTTCTTTCTTTGTGACAATCTTGATCAGCCTGCAGTGTAGTCTGATGGGAGTAACTGTGAAAGCAGTGACAGCTGTTAATATCACCTTCAGATGCAGTGAAAGAGGAAATGAGTGAGAAAGTGGATTCGTCTTCTCCAGTGGATTTTATTGTAGACAAATGTTAGGAATAACTACCTGCAACCAAATCCCTGAGAGGACTCAATGTAACCTACTATTTTTTCAATAGTAAATGGCAGAAACTGGGTTCTGATCTTGAAAGATTGAAGGTAGGAGGGAAAAGGACATGTATCTCCATTTTAGAGAAGGTAGGGTAAAACTGGTAGGGATAAAACAATATAAAGAATGAAGGGGAAACAAACAGGGCCACTAAACTATGTCTTGATCCATCTATAATTAGATTATGTTCAATAGATAATATCTTAAATGTGATGTCAACAATAGGATTAAGTTAACAGTACTCTTCCCTCATCCCTGCTTACCCACAGGATATTCTCCAATACCTCCAGGTGGATGCCTGGAATCATGGAGAACACCAAATCCTATGTATATTATGTGCTTTCCTCTACATGCACACCTATGATGAAGTTTAATTGATTAAAGGCACAATTAGTGATTAACAGGGATAATAATAACAACCTGTTAAATTAGCAGAGTCCATGGGGAGAATGGTCATAGGAGAAAATATCAGATGTTGTTGAGCACTGATGTTAATCATGTCATCACATGTTCTGTATTTACTCTCTTATTCCATCCTCACATCAGCCCTAGGAGATGCAATGACTTTATATTTATTACATGATTTTCAATCCAAAATTTCTAATTGCAAGGTTTTTTTTTTCTTCTCCATATTTCTTTAGGAACTTGGAATGCTGACTATCCAGAGGAACATAAAGGTTGGCCTTCGTAGTCAAGGACAAAGCTAATAGCCAGATGCATCCTGACTTCTGTCCTTGTCCCAGCTTTGATGGATTATCTGTTGCCTTTATTTCTCATTGCCTCTTCCACTTGTAAAATGCCTTTCACTTTCTGTCTAGGCTAAAGCTAAACTGAATCTATGGCTTTAAGTAAATTAAGTTCCCAAACTCTATAGTTTAAATGTAAATGAAGTAGTTTCCCTACTGAGTCCTTGCCTATCGTGATCCTAGAACCTTCCAGGACATTCTACTTTCTTCACTCTGGTTGGGAGATGCAGCCACCACACTCCCTCATATCACACCCTGTTTTCAGTAAATTTCCAAGTCCTTGCTGCACAAAGTCATTAGGGGGTTCTATAACCTAAAGATTCTAGTAGGACAAGGCCCTTGTTTCAGACCATCTCTTACAGAGAATTTTTAAAATAAAATGAAAGCAAGTCCAACTCCTCCTTATATACCTAAGGATCTTTTTTTAAAGATAATAGTTTCTCTTCATTCTAAAGATCAGGTTCTCCAAGGCCAAGATTGTATTTTTCCTAATCTCCTGTTAGCTATTGCAGACGAGGGGAAAATATAATTAACCTCTCTTTGCCTTCTTTCTCTGATTGTCTTTCATGTCTATTTTTTTCCTGGCTTCATGTACCATTACTTCCCTTTTGCAAGCAAAGACTTTAATGGGCAAAAAAGAAAGAAAGAATGATTCACAGATCTGGGGCCTGTGTTTCTCCTCCGTAATTGCTAGTCCCAGAAAGTAGAATTGCAAATAGTTATAACCTGTATCCTTCCTGTGGATGGGGCAACCCTCCTCTTGAGCTGACATTCCAGAAGAGCAGTTAACGTGGAAGAGAAATTGATCTCAACTCAGCAGTGAAGGACAGTATTGTGAAGAGCAGTAACTGTGCCAGACACACTGGGTTCTTACTGGGGGCCATGCTAGGCCTTCATCACGTAACTGGAAAACTTTCTTGAAGCCACAATCTCTTTGTTAGTAGGAAGATAAATAGCAGGGGAAAAGGTGATGGACAAGTATTGGGGGTTATCATCAAAAATCTAATGTCTGCAATTTTTTTTCCTCCTCATAACCTTGGAAAATTTCCCAGTTCATTTTCAGTCCTATTGTTAGCACAGTTCTGAAGGGTCTGTTCTTGCCAAAACAAGATTTATGTTGGATTTTTTAAATGTTATCTCTTGGACCTTAATGCTCAGGTTTTTGTGGGTCCTACTCGAGCACATACAATGTTACCTTAGGTGGAAGAAGAGGACACCTGATCAGGATCTAAGCAACACGGTGGCCTTGTGAGCTTCTGTTGATTAGCCCCAAGTAGTCCAGCTGAAGTCCTGTGGTTTTATGTTTAATGGTAATAGCTGATTATATATGGCATAAATCTCTGTCCGGCTTCCTACTGAGTCATATAAACACAGACTTGAAATAGTACTTTAAAAGTCCAAATACCTAAACATGCTAAACTGGAGATAACTAGGTAGTTGAATTTTTTTGAAAATGATGATCAGCCACACAACTGTTCTGTACATACCTGTTTTCTTGTGCACTTTTCTGTATGCAAATAAAGCTATAAATGTACTCATTTCAATAAACTGGAATGGCAAAATCTCATGTGTTACCATCAGTTTATTCTGATATTGATAGTCTGTGCTGGTCAAGACTTAAAGTGTACCAATGAAAGTTGAGTCAATGTTAGTTACAGTACATTCTGGATTGTCACAAAGATGACTAAAATTATAAATTCATGAAATTGAGCCAGGAGTAAATTCTTATCCATTCTCTGTCAATGCCTCACTTTCTTCTCTCAGGCCTCCACACACTCCCTTCCTGGGAGCTTAATGGAGTTCAGTAGATTAGACCTGCACAGAACAACTTCCACTGATGTCCAGTAAAAAAAAAAAAATTATTGGTATAGTATTGGCCCAATTTAACCTTTGCCACTGCTCACAGTTTATTTAGTCCTATTTGACCCCACCAAAATACAACTGTGGGAACAAAGTGAGGCAGATTCAAGCTCCTCAGGAGACCTGCAGTGTGATGTGGGCAGGCTAATGATCAGGTGTTTTCTTGGGACACCCTAAGACACTGGTGCAAGATTCAAGGCTCTCATTTATTTCCAGAAGACCTGGAATAGGTTAGGGTGTTGCTCAGTGGTAGAGAACTTCCCTAGCATAGGTAAGACCCTGGGTTTAACTCCCAGCACTACAAAAACAAAACATAACCCCTGGTACTACAAGAAAGAGAAAGTGGGTACTGGGGTTGTGGCTCAGTGGTAGAGTGCTTGCCTAGCATGTGTGAGACATTGGGTTCTAAGCACCACATATAAATAAATAAAATAAAGGTCCATTGACAACTAAACAATATTAAAAAGAAATTTGCTTTTCAAAAAAATAAGTTAATTAATTAAAAAAGAAGAAGAAAGAGAAAGGAAATCCTAAGGTATACCTTGCTTGGACGTAGATGTCTTAGTGTCACACCTAATTTCTGTAAGGAATAAGACACGTGTGGGGAAGAGGCATCTTTTGGTGCATCCTATTATGGGATGTTTGGTAGTACTGCCTTTTTTTATCCTTATCTGAAGCACTTGGTCTCTTTCTGACAAGAGTGAGGTGGAATGTAGGGGAACAAAATCCACATAAAAACAGCATCCAGGAGATGAGGATGAACTGGAGAAGGATGTTGATAAGAATGTGTTGCACCTATTACTTTGCTTTTCCAGGGGCTCTCCATGTGTCTAACTAGTTGAGGCTGGGTGCTATTTCCATGGGGCTGAATTTGTGAGATCTTTCTGGAGGTTAATCCTTGCTTGTATATGCAAGAGGAGGACATTCTTCTCAGGATAGGTTTAGAAACCACTGTTGGCCAGGCAGAAGGGGCAGTTACTAAAGTGTCTCCCAAAGCAGGGATAGATCTGTTCTTCAGTCTCTTTAGTAGCAACGGTATTCATATCTGTGTGCAGGAAGTACTACATTTTGAGGGAACTCTGTTATCCTAGAAAGAGGTTTCATTTAGGCATCAAACACATCTAAGTTAAAAGCTGAACTTTTTTTGTGTGTGAAGCACTTCACCATTTTTACAAAGTGCCTTTATTCCACTGGTACCATAATCCTGTGAGGTCGACCTGTTCCTGTCACATCTCATGCTAGACTGGCATCGGTGCTTTAAAGTGACTGCCATCTGTTCCTTCTCCTAAGGAGAGCTTTCCATGGTTATTTTATAGTAAAAATGGGTTGCAAGGAGATCCTTTCAATTACTGATTTCTAATTCCTTCCACAAAATGTTACCTGTGGCGTCTACAGAGAGCCAAACAGGGTGACTCTGAGTCTTTCCTGTGCTGAAAGCAAGAAGGGGAAAAAACAGAGGATGTAGCTAACTCAGGAATTTTGTTGATCCTGGAATTACCTGCTGAGTGAGGACTCTGACCCATATGGAGAGGTTCAGTACAAAATTTTCCAATGAAAGATGGGAACTGCCCAAAAGCCCCTGGTAAATATTTAAGCTATTAACATTAGAGAAGATTGCAAAATAATAAAGTACCTAACTCTTGCTGGGAAATGGCATGCTTTTAACTAACTAATTGCTTTCCTCTAAAAATAACTAAAATTCATGTTCTAAGTTGATCTACCAAATGTGGTCATGAACAAGGTTGTGTACCAACAGCATCTCTGTTAACAAGTCCTAATTTCAGCAATGCTGATGGATGAGGGCCAGCCATTTATTATCCCACCTAATGAGTGACCCAGCCCCTTGTTTGCCCTTGCTTTGCTGGAAGTATGTGCTTAATTACTCAAACTCTAGCTTGTACTGAAATCATACACGGGCCAGTCTTCAGGGAGACCTCAATGAGAGCTGAGGACCAAAGGTTTATTATATTTTTAAAAGCCTGACTCTGAAAGTCTGCATGACTATCTTTTCCTCAAGATGTTGATTGTGGAGTTGTCTATCAATTCTCTCTTTATTTGGTTAACTTTAATTATTACTATTATCTTGGGGGGAAAAAGAGAAATTAATACTGTTCTAAAACTTAAAGGGTGACCCGACTGGACTGGATCTGAGTCACAGCTATTTCTGAGGTGGGTCCTAGACTGCCTTCTCTGTCTGCTTATGCTGGTTGATCATCAAAGTTTTTTGTTTTGTTTTGTTGTTTTTGTTTTGTTTTAAGGGTAATCTGAGATGAGAATACTGGACACAGGAGCTAACAGAGAAAGGAAAAAGAATGGTTAATGTGACACTTGCCTCTTGTTTCCTTCACTGTCTTGAGAGATTGGGTTAGGCCCTTGCTAGTAGGAAATGATAGGGCTAGAGGCTGGAAGAGCCATCTTTTTTTGTTTAAAAAAAAAAAAAAAAGCCCTGGACACATGTAGGCCATTCTCAGCCTGTCTTCATTAAGAATGAAATTGAAAGGCTCACAGGAACTGAGATTAGTAGGTGTCCTAGATCAAGCTCCTATAGTAAGAATCCCATAGACTGGGTGGCTTAAACAACAACATTTATTTCTCACCATTTTTGCTAATTAATGTTCTAAGTAAAGTAAAATCAAAATTTGGAACTATTGATATGAATTTTACCACTGATTTTTAACTCACATGTGGAATCATCAAAATTATACTATTTATATTTCATAACTAATATATGCAAGCTTTTGCATATGTATTCTATTAGTAACAAAATAGTAGAAACTACACATCAACTTTTTATTTCACTTCCTGATGTGTGTACATTCTAACAATAGTTTCTACCTTTAGGTCACTGTGAGAAACCAAGCACTGGAAAAATGAAAGGAAATTCTAGTTTGCCTTACCCTTTTCTGTCCTTCTGTGCCATAATTTCTAATGTAACTGGTTGATTCACAGTAGGGAAGCAACAGATCAGTGTTTCTTGATCATTTATTCGTGTTTCTTCTAGTATTGGAAGCAGGTCCTGGTTCAAACAGGAAGTGTGGCCCAACCGTGCCCCATGGCACCCCACGCAGTTACAGACATAACCCACCTACACTCACTCTCACTTGGAGTCTCGGAACTCCCACACATTGTCCTCCGCCCTGCTCTGTGCTCAGAGGCTAAACAAACCTGTGTGGGAATGGGGCAGCACAGAAGAGGAGGTATGTTGGACATATTTTCTCTACCCCTGGACAAGCTGTGTTTTCCTATTAGAATTTTCTTCCAAAACAAATGTTCAAAATAAATTTATCAAGGATGTCAAAAGGACAATAGCAGAGCACAAAACCAGCTATGGGGCTGGGTTAGTCAGCTTTCATCACTGTGATGCTATAACTGAAAAAAAAAAAAGAATTAGAGAAGGAAATATTTATTTTGGCTCATAGTTGCAGAGATTTCATTCCGTCCATGGTAGGCTGGCTCTAGCTTTCAGCTCTGTGGTGAGGTAGAAACCTCATGGTAGAAAGAAAGCTGCTCGCTTTGTGATATCCAGGAGACAGAGAGAGAGAGAGAGAGAGAGAGAGAGAGAGAGAGAGAGAGGAGGAGGAAGGGGCAGGATCACACCCTAGTGACCTACTTCCTCCATCTAGACCCCACCTGAAGTTTGAGTCACATCCCATAATGCCATTAGCTACAAACTCATCACAAGATTAACCCATTCTTGAGGTCACAGTTCTTGTGACCCAACCACATCCCAAGAGCCCTACTTCAGAACATTGCTGTACTGGGGACCAAGCCCTCAAAACGCAAACCCTTGGGAGATATTCCACATCCAAATCACAAGACAGACTCTCTAGACAGCTGAGACTTGAGGTATGATCCAGATTTCATGTGAAGTTTCCTCTGGTGAGAGGGCCTTGGAAGTTGGCAATGGATTGCATTCCCCACATGACCACATCAGCAAAGCCAATGGCAAAGCAGCAGCCTACAAGGTGGACGCTACAGAAAGCAGAAGACTGGTGGCTGCGCATTAGTATGAGGATTACTCATAATAAAGTTTGAAAGGGAACTGGGAACCAAAGTCACAGTCTACAAAGTTTTAATGTTCCCTCAATTTAAGCTCAAAAGAGTACTATTTCGGTTGTGGATTAGTCAGCTTTTTTGCTGCTTTGACTAAAAGACTTGACCAGAACAATTGTAGAAGAGGAAAGTTCATTTGGGGGCTCACAGTTTCAGAGGTCTCCATCCATAGACTGCTGGCCCTATTCCTCGGGGCTTGAGGTGAGGCAGAACAACATGGTGGAAAAGTATGGAAGCTCAGATGATGATCAGAAGCAGAGAGAGACTCCACCTGCCAGATACAAAATATATACCCCAAAGGCATGCCCTCAGGGACCCAACTCCTCCAGCCATACCCTGCTGGCCTTCAGTTATTACTTAGTTTATCCCATGGGAGATTAATGCATAATTCAGTTAAGACACTCTTAACCCAATCATTTCTCCTTTAAACTTTCTTGCATTGTCTCACATATGAGCTTTTGAGGGACACTTCACATCCAACCCATGACAAGTAGTGAGGATATTAGGAGGACTATAAAACTCCTGAGCCTCTTATTTGCTTCAGTTCTTTGCAATTCTTCACTTTACGTCATTGAAAGCATAGCACAGCCAGTTTTGAAAATTACAGTTCAGAGATGGTCCCCAGAATAACAAGAGTTTAAATAACTGC